TGCCTGCCTCGGCGATGGACTCGGATGAGGAGGAAGAGCTCGCCGCGCTGCTGGAGGAGGAAGCCGCGGCCGACGTCCAGGAAGAAGAGCATCTCATGGTGCTCGCCGCCCTCGCCCAGCTGCTGGCGAGCAATGAAAAGCCGCGTCGAGGTGGCTCGGCGCCGGGGCGGGTGAAAGCAAAGAACCGGCATCGTCTCCAAGGCTACTGCATGCTCTACTCCGACTACTTCGCCGATGCTCCACTTTATGGCGAGAGAACATTTCGGCGCCGTTATCGGATGAGCCGAAAGCTCTTCCTCGGGATTGTGAATTCCATCCGGGAGTTCGACAACTACTTCAAGTGCAAGATGGATTGCACTAGCGCTCTTGGATTCACCTCCATCCAGAAGTGCACGACAGCGATGAGGATGCTTGCATATGGAGCTCCCAGTGATTCACTCGACGACTATGGGCGCATGGCCGAGTCCACCAACATAGAGTGTTTCTACAAGTTCTGTCGGGCAGTGGTGGCAGTGTTTGGGCCACAATACTTGAGAACACCCAATGCGGAAGACACTTCTCGGATCCTAGCCCAGAATGCAGCAAGAAGATTTCCTGGGATGCTTGGAAGCATCGACTGCATGCATTGGAAATGGAAGAATTGCCCATTTGGTTGGCAGGGGATGTACAAAGGAGCCAAAGGCGGTTGCAGTGTGGTGCTTGAGGCGGTAGCCACACAGGACCTCTGGATTTGGCACTCCTTCTTTGGTATGCCAGGAACTCACAATGACATCAACGTGCTGCAGTGCTCTCCTGTTTTTGCCAAGCTCGTTGAGGGCCATTCTCCTCCGGTGAACTTCGAGATCAATGGGCACCAATACAACAAGGAGTACTATCTAGCTGACGGCCTCTATCCGAGATGGTCGGCATTTGTGAAGACGATCTCAAACCCTGTGGCAGGAGGCAAGAACGCCTGGTTTGCGAAGCTTCAGGAGGCTTGCAGGAAGGATGTCGAGCGGGCATTTGGTGTGCTCCAATCTCGATTTGTTGTTGTTCGATACCCCGCTCAGACCTGGTCCAAAGATCAAATGTGGGAGATTATGACTTGCTGTGTCATCTTGCACAACATGATCATCAAGAGCGAGCACGAAGACCCAGTGTTTGACACTGAACCATACTACAGGCAGAGTCCTCTAGCCGAAGTTGATCACCAGCTACCGGCAACTTGGACTGCCTATCTCAGTATGCGTCAGGAGATCCGAGACCCACAGGTGCATCATCAACTGCAGAAAGATCTGATTAAGCACCTATGGAGGCTCAAGGGGGACGTCGTGTGATGAAATACGAGTTTTTTTTGTTGAACTATATAATTTGTATTGAACTATTTGTTGTTGTACTATTTTGTTGAAGTATTTGTTTTTTCTGTGATGAAATATGTGATAAGAAATAATTGTGTTGATAATTGAACGCCGAGACACGGCGAAACCACGCCAAATATGGGCCTATTCTCGTCCATATGGGCCATTTATTCGCCGAAATTGGGCTGCAAAGTGGGCCAATTTCGGCGCCTGGGGGCGAGCTGGGTGCGATGACTGGGCGCAAAACCACCCTCAGCGCCGATTGTATCGCCGGCTCGCCCCCAGGGGGCGATTTTTATGCGTCCTGGGGAGGCCAACGGCTGGAGATGCCCTAATACACCTATACACATGCATATTAAAATATGTCTAACTATTATTTTTTTACTAAAACATGGTTTGCAGAACGTAGCACCAACACTAATACAAATAAAAACGACCAACCCTTTTTTTTGCGGGGAAAAAAAGAGCAACCCTGAATTGACATGAATGCCTAAGAAACAACCGGTTAAGTTACTACCCTCAACTTTCAACCCCGACTCTTCTCAAACCGATTTCTGGCCTTTTTGATTGGCTTTGACCAGTTGACCCATCCAGTCAGCATCCACATCAGCTGCCACATCACCAGCCCACTTTTTTGTCCAAAAAAAGTGCCCTGAAAAATAAAAAAACTTGTGTAAAATGAACACTACCACGCTGTTCATTTTGTGAAAAAAAAAATTTTTGTCAAGCAGATTAAAAATAGAAGGAAAATGCAATTCAAGACCTTTTTGATCAAATTTTGACCCAAAAAATGAAAGTGCCCAGGAAAAATTGAGAAGATTCTCTAGAGTGAACACTACCATGCTGATCATTCTGGGAAAGTTTAAAACTTTTTTCAAACAGATTAAAAACTACAGGAAAAATACATATTCATGACTTTTTTTGGTCAAATTTTTAGAAAAAATGAAAGTGTCCACAAAAGATGCAGTGCATTTCTGATAAGAGGAGAAACCAACCTTTCTCAGGGCATCCTCCTTGCATTCAAAATAATTATCATAAGCCACAACCCCCCTCCCGGATACGATTGAACACATGTCTAGCCGTCCAGAAGTGGCACCGGAATAGGTTATCTTTGAAGAGTGGGTCAGCGGACTCGAAGTAATCTTTCCAGAGTAGGCAATGGCCGCTCTTTCTGTTGCAATTCAACGCCGGAGTATGCCCCGGGATCGACCCCCTAAACATCAGTCGCTGCCTACTAATGTGGTCATGGACGACCAAAGACGCAACCACAATGTCCTCATCGTCGGACGACGAATCATCCAAATCGCAAATGAAGTTGTTGAAAAAGTACTCATCGTCACTATCATTTGTACCGTGCGGGCGAAACGTCGAACACCTTGCGAGCGTGGAGCTAGAAGCCGACCGGTGAAGAGCTCAGCGTCTCTCCCAAACGAGCCAGCAGGCCCGTCGGCTTGGAGGCGACCGGTGAGCGAGGACGCCGAACTTGCAGTGTTGCGACGGCGGTGGAGGTGGCGTGGTCATGGGGGTACCATGACAGCGGCAAAAACAGACCACCAACACTGGCAAGAGCAGTCGTCGGGTGCGGCGAGCTGTTGGGGAGGTTGGTAGGTGCGGGCCGCGGCCTACGTAGCGTCCAACCGCCACTATGGACAATAGCGCGCGCGGGAGAGGGGGGAATTTGGGTCTAAAATGGGTTGCTCGCGGATAAAAGGCAAACGTTCATCTGTTTGGGTTGACGCGTTGGACGGTGATTTGTGCCCATTAGAACCCAAGAGTGAGCTTATGTAGCAGTCGGCATGTGGCTGATCTCGTATGCTATTTTCCCCAATTCAGCCCGATCTCAGAACAATAATCCTAGACCTACGGGCCTGTTACAGGCAAGTTACGAGAAGCCCTTCGCTACTTCTCTTCGCCCCCCCTATTTTCACCGGGGTGGCCCCGCTTCCTGCCCTTCTTGCCAATCAAACCATGCCATGTCAGCGTGTAATTAGTCTCAGCCTGTAAATGTCCGTACGTGTAGCATTACTGATCTCAGAACACTCATATACCAAACCCGTATATATCTGGCCTCTTGATTCGGCAGTTTCTCCGGGGGGTCGAACCTCGGACCTGTACCAAACCCCGCTGCCTCACACGCACTCGTTAACCAATCCATCCGAGGAAATATACCACCAGATGCTGAGCCAGAAATGGAGAGTGCTTATAGGAACCAATAATGGAGAGTGCTTATAGAGATTTTTGGTCCCTCTCTGAATTCTTGCTCTAGGAACCAAAAATCACCTCATGTCTGAAAATTTGATAACTTAAGACTGAAATCCGTTGATATGAAATGATTGAACTAACTGAGCGGAGGTCGGGTTTTCTTCATTGAAGCTGCTCGAAACAATGGAATCATCGATTTTCTATATCCCTACAGATTACAAACCGATATTAAAATCCCCAAATCTGAGGAGTGAATTCTTATGCCACAAATTTGTGTGCGTGCGTGGCCACTGATTAAAATCCCCAAATCCAATTAACCTCAACTCACCTCGCCACAGCAGTCGGCACGAATGGCTGGGAGGAGGCGAATCGCCGGTGTATTCTTGGTCGTGTTGGATCAAACTGGTTGAGGGAGGAGACGAGCAGGCGAGCGTGTTGCCTTGTAACTAGTCCTACTGCAGCCATGGACTAGGAGCAACCGTGTAGATCAACTCTTTTAAGGCTTCAGGAGGCAACTCGCCAACCGGCTTGTGCAACATCGTCTAATCAAAGCCTGAGATTTTATTGACCTCTTCCAGCCTAGCCTATAAATAACTAAAGAACAGATGAAGTCCACCCTGAGCGACTCGTACACCCACCAGTTCTCCTACTGATATTTTATATACACGGAAGTTCCCGCGGATACATTAACTGCAACGTTCAGTCATGCAACACCACCCCTCCCTCAAAGTCGCCTACAGATGCAGGCTACAACACCTTCCCATCTATAATACAATTCCGAGCCGGTTTCGGTTTCTACGGGTAACGTAAGTTACTCCAAAGGTGGTAACATCAATCAGCTGCATTCCAAAGGGTGCTCAAAACTAGTTGGTCGGGTCGAAGTACCTTCCAAAGGTTTCTGCGACGTAATCTCGGCCGAACTGCCCACCATGGGATGTTCTTGTGTTGGTTCCATCTCGGCCGAACTGCGCACCAAAGGATGTTCTTGCGTTGGTGCCATCTCAGCCGAACTGCCCACAAAGGTATGTTCTTGCGTTGGTGCCATCTCAGCCGAACTGCCCACCAAAGGCTTTGGTTCCATCTCAGCCGAATTGCCCACCAAAGGATGTTCTTGTGTTGGTTCCATCTCAGCCAAACTGCCCACCAAAGGATGTTCTTGCGCTGGTACCATCTCACCAGAACTGCCCACCAAAGGATGTTCTTGCGTTGGTGACATCTCAGCAGAACTGACTTGCAAAGGGTGTTCAGACATTGGTGTCATCTCAGCAGAACCGACTTCCAGCAGGTGTTCCGACGTTGGTATCACCTCAGCTGAACTGACTTCCAAAGGGTGTTCTGACGTTGCCAGCTCCATCACGTTGTTTGCAGGCTTAACTTCCAAAAGCGACTGACACGCTGTCTGCTCCGATGTACTGTCGTTACTGGGATCCGCTTCCTCAAACAACTGATGAAGCAGGGTCTTCATTTTCTTTCGCAATGCAGAAGCCTCTTCAGGTTGAAACCATGTTTTGCCAAACTAACAGAAATTAGAGAAAAAATGAGCAAGGAATATCCGCATGCAGTTCAGTGTTCTGAAAGCAGTCAAACACACCGAACATAGAATGGTCAACACACTAACAGATAGTGGCTCACCATAGAAAGGTCTTTCTTGTGAAGCCTTTCAGGTGCCTCCTCGATGAACCGCTGCATATAGTACAGAACAAAGAGGCCACAGTCAAATTCATTTTCCTGCTGGGGAACCTGGAAAAAAAATTAAGAGTGTAAGAGCTACAAGATCACAGCATGGAGAGACAAATACACCATCTATAGTGCAGACGATATAACAGCGTCATATGTAATCAACCATGGGCGTCCAACAACAACAACAACAACAACAAAGCCTTTAGTCCCAAACAAGTTGGGGTAGGCTAGAGGTGAAACCCATAAGATCTCGCAACCAACTCATGGCTCTGGCACATGGATAGCAAGCTTCCACGCACCCCTGTCCATAGCTAGCTCTTTGTCGATACTCCAATCCTTCAGGTCTCTCTTAACGGACTCCTCCCATGTCAAAATCGGTCGACCCCGCCCTCTCTTGACATTCTCCGCACGCTTTAGCCGTCCGCTATGCACTGGAGCTTCTGGAGGCCTGCGCTGAATATGCCCAAACCATCTCAAACGATGTTGGACAAGCTTCTCCTCAATTGGTGCTACCCCAACTCTATCTCGTATATCATCATTCCGGACTCGATCCTTCCTCGTGTGGCCACACATCCATCTCAACATACGCATCTCCGCCACACCTAACTGTTGAACATGTCGCCTTTTAGTCGGCCAACACTCCGCGCCATACAACATTGCGGGTCGAACCGCCGTCCTGTAGAACTTGCCTTTTAGCTTTTGTGGCACTCTCTTGTCACAGAGAATGCCAGAAGCTTGGCGCCACTTCATCCATCCGGCTTTGATTCGATGGTTCACATCTTCATCAATACCCCCATCCTCCTGCAACAGACCCCAAATACCGAAAGGTGTCCTTCCGAGGTACCACCTGGCCATCAAGGCTAACCTCCTCCTCCTCACAGCTAGTAGTACTGAAACCGCACATCATGTACTCGGTTTTAGTTCTACTAAGCCTAAACCCTTTCGATTCCAAGGTTTGTCTCCATAACTCTAACTTCCTTACCCCCATCCGACTATCGTCAACTAGCACCACATCATCCGCAAAGAGCATACACCATGGGATATCTCCTTGTATACCCCTTGTGACCTCATCCATCACCAATGCAAAAAGATAAGGGCTCAAAGCTGACCCCTGATGCAGTCCTATCTTAATCGGGAAGTCATCGGTGTCGACATCACTTGTTCGAACACTTGTCACAACATTATTGTACATGTCCTTGATGAGGGTAATGTACTTTGCTGGGACTTTGTGTTTCTCCAAGGCCCACCACATGACATTCCGCGGTATCTTATCATAGGCCTTCTCCAAGTCAATGAACACCATATGCAAGTCCTTCTTATGCTCCCTATATCTCTCCATAAGTTGTCGTACCAAGAAAATGGCTTCCATGGTCGACCTCCCAGGCATGAAACCAAACTGATTTTTGGTCACGCTTGTCATTCTTCTTAAGCGGTGCTCAATGACTCTCTCCCATAGCTTCATTGTATGGCTCATCAGCTTAATTCCACAGTAATTAGTACAACTCTGAACATCCCCCTTGTTCTTGAAGATTGGTACTAATATACTCCGTCTCCATTCTTCTGGCATCTTGTTTGCCCGAAAAATGAGGTTGAAAAGCTTGGTTAGCCATACTATCGCTATGTCCCCGAGACCTTTCCACACCTCAATGGGGATACAATCAGGGCCCATCGCCTTGCCTCCTTTCATCCTTTTTAAAGCCTCCTTCACCTCAGACTCCTGGATGCGCCGCACAAAACGCATGCTGGTCTCATCAAAGGAGTCATTCAGTTCAATGGTAGAACTCTCATTCTCCCCATTGAACAGCTTGTCGAAGTACTCCCGCCATCTATGCTTAACCTCTTCGTCCTTCACCAAGAGTTGGCCTGCTCCGTCCTTGATGCATTTGACTTGGCCAATATCCCTCGTCTTCCTCTCCCGGATCTTAGCCATCTTATAGATGTCCCTTTCACCTTCCTTCGTGCCTAACCGTTGGTAGAGGTCCTCATATGCCCGACCCCTTGCTTCACCAACAGCTCGCTTTGCGGCCTTCTTCGCCATCTTGTACTTCTCTATGTTGTCTGCACTCCTATCCAGGTATAGGCGTCTGAAGCAATCTTTCTTCTCTTTAAGCGCCTTCTGGACATCATCATTCCACCACCAGGTATCCTTATCTTCGCTTCTCCTTCCCCTGGACACTCCAAACTCCTCCGAGGCCACCTTACGAATGCAAGTCGCCATCTTCATCCACACATTGTCCGCATCCCCTCCTTCCTCCCAAGGGCCCTCCTTAAATACCCTCTCCTTAAACACCTGAGCTACCTCCCCCTTGAGCTTCCACCACTTCGTTCTAGCGACCTTGGCACGCTTATCCCGCTGGACACGAATCCGAAAGCGAAAGTCAGCAACCACCAGCTTATGCTGGGGTACAACACTCTCCCCAGGTATCACCTTACAGTCTAGGCACGCACGCCTATCTTCTCTTCTCGAGAGGATGAAATCAATCTGGCTAGAGTGTTGGCCACTACTAAAAGTCACCAGATGTGATTCTCTCTTTCTAAAGAGGGTGTTAGCTACAATCATGTTGTAGGCTAGAGCAAAGCTTAAGACATCTTCTCCTTCTTGATTCCTGATGCCATAGCCAAAGCCCCCATGCGCCCCTTCAAAACCTGTGTTAGATGTACCCACGTGGCCATTGAGGTCTCCTCCTATGAAGAGCTTCTCACCAATTGGTACACTCCTAACCATGTCTTCCAAGCCTTCCCAGAACTCCCTCTTGGTGTTCTCATTGTGGCCTACTTGCGGGGCATATGCGCTGATAACATTGAGAACCAAGTCCTCAGCTACCAGCTTGACCAGGATAATCCGGTCCCCACGTCTCCTGACGTCTACCACTCCATACTTGAGGCTCTTGTTGATCAAGATGCCTACGTCATTTCTGTTTGCAGCCGTCCCCGTGTACCACAGCTTGAAGCCGGTATCCTCCACCTCCTTCGCCTTCTGTCCTCTCCATTTGGTTTCTTGGACGCAAAGGATATCAACACCTCTCCTCACTGCTGCATCAACTAGCTCCCGAAGCTTCCCTGTCAGAGACCCTACGTTCCAGCTACCTAAGCGAATCCTCCTAGGCTCGGCTAGCTTCCTTACCCTTCGCACTCGTCGAGTCAAATGCGAAGACCCTTGCTCATTTTCCACTACATCCGGGCGCCGATGTAGCGCGCCACTAAGGATGCGACGACCCGATCCTCGCTCACTTGCCACCGTATCCGGATCAAGATACGGCGCGCCACTTGGGGGGTGACGGCCCGGCCCTTGCCCATTTTCCACCACACCCGGGTTCCGATGTGGCGCGTCGCTGAGAGGGTTACGCCCCAACGAAAATCTGTTTGCAGCCGTCCCCGTGTTACGCCCCAACTATGGGCGTCCACTTATAAGAAATCTGGATGCCCACCCATAATTTCGTTTTGACAATATCCTGAACTCACAAGCATACATGCACTTAGCAATTTACAGCCTGTATTTGACAATATCTTAGGGGATGCACAATGGGACGATGTCGGCATGCTGAGTTGGAAGAGAGAGAAATTAAAGGAAGAGTGTGCCTTCTCTTATCTAAGAGATGATATTTTCATGCCTATGATGCTTTTCTCCATTGTATCCAGATGTCATCTAGTAGTCGCATGCTTTTTACTGAATATTAATCACCACATAATTATAGAGGCATGCAAATACTCCCTCCGTTTCTTTTTAGTCTGCAAATAAGATTTGGTCAAAGTCAAACTTTGTAAAGTTTGACTAAGTTTATAGAAAAAAATATCAACATCTACAATACAAAAGTTATATGTTATGAAAATTAATTTCATCATGCATCTAATAATATTGATTTGATAGTGTGAATGTTGATATCTTTTCCTACAAAGCTAGTCAAACTTTACAAAGTTTGACTTTGACCAAATCTTATATGCAAACTAAAAAGAAACGGAGGGAGTAATAATTGGAAGAGATAATACTAAGAGGTAAATTCTATAGCATGCTTTTATTGCCATCTCTAGTCTCTAGATGACGTGGAGGCTTAAGAAAGGAATGCCAAAATAATACCTTCTCAACCACAATACATGCTATTAAAAAATTACTCAGTAGTATGAACTGTAACGAGAATTCCAAGAGGTTGTCAATACGCAAATGAAAAGCACAGGTGGGTCCGATGCTATTTTCCTGAGTGACTGAATCTAATAACGGTTTTGTTATTCAGATTCGAAATGGACATAGTGATGCACAAACTGTTGGATGCTGCAATAGGTACATTCTATCAGCTAAAGCTAACCTCAAAGCACACATCTCAGTACATGCATTTCATAAAAAGATCTTAAGTTACCGCAATTGGTTTCTTCTCAATTTTACGAGGAAGTTTCTTCCACACTGTTTCTCGTATAGGACATTCTGCTAAAGACCCATTTTCCTTCAGGTAATTCCATTCTTGTTTTAAGAATCTGCAAATGAACATACATCATTTTAAACTAGAATGAAAATAATACAGCAGAACACTGAGGATATCATGAAATTTTGACACCTAGACAAGAAAAATAATGGTATGCCAAAATAATAGTGTCTACGTTCCAGAAGATGTACTTCTAAATGCAAAAATGTACGAAATAAATGAGACTTTAATAGAAGGGCAGCCCGGCATGTAGCTCCCGCTTACGCAGGGTCCGGGGAAGAGGCCGACCACTTTGGGTCTATTGCATGAAAAGAATAGAGGAAACAAAGTAGAAGCATGTATCCCATTTGTGTCGTTATGTTGCAGAAATAAAAGCCAAACGCCAAAACTAAGCAGTACAACTCATCAACTTTTTTTACTTTCAAGATTATTTACCTCTCAACAACACTGAAAATCAATCTGCTGTTATGGAAATTCAGTGAATCCAAATGAAGTATAATGGGGCCTGATTGATCTTCCTTTGCTGGCATGCATATAATCACCAGGCTCCAATGAGTACTGAACATTTGGAACAAAAACAAAACATCCTGAGCCTTTTAACAGAATATTGAAGTAACGCATAAGTCTAGCATATGTGGTAAAAATATGCATCAATGATCGGGTCATGTTGCAGTAAAGTTTTGAATCCAGTCAGGCAACATAGGAGTTACCTTTTACAGACAGCTCCCTCCTAGTATTTACAACAAATATATATCCCCTCTATTCCGATGAATAAGGCGCGCACGCATCCCAAAATCCAACTTAAAAATATATTATGTCGTGACTTAAAAATTATATCACTGAAAACTTCTTCCGAATACGAATTCAACGAGATAATTTTTGTACATACTCAGATTTGGTTGGTCTAATTTATGGTCAAAGTTTAATTTTGAAATACGTGTGCACCTTATTCTCTATAAACATCCACTCTTAAGTCTGCAAGTATCAACTGAAACTAAAAAAAAAGCATGGATGAGCTCTTGGCCCGGTGGTTGGAGCGCAGTGGTCTCCACGCCGGCGTGGGTTCGAACCCATGAGTTCAAATGTATGTCTCGCACCCTTTTCTTAATTAAAAAGGCGGAGGGGCTCCTCCCCCTGTTGGCCTCGTTTTTATACTAAAAAACAAGCACAATAGCATCTACTCCCTCCATCCGAAAATACTTGTCATCAAAACGGATAAAAAGGGATGTATCTAGAACTAATATACGTCTAGATACATCCCCTTCCATTCATTTTGATGACAAGTATTTCCGGACGGAGGGAGTACTTCGTTATGACCAGGGTTCCAGTAGTCCCCACAATTTTGCTAGAAACGGAAACAAGCCAGCTCCCAGATTTCCTCATAAAGATATGACTTGGTAAATATCACCAGTAATCTTGCGGAATTGCTCAATCTCCGAGCACAATATGTTATACTCCCTCCGATCCATATTAATTGTGACAGCTTTAGTACAACTTTGGTACAAAGTTGTACTAAAGCTGCGACAATTAATTTGAATCAGAGGGAGTAGCTAATTATGATATAAGCTAAAACTGACATTAATCCATTGTCAAATCTGCAAATACACCATATCCAGCATTTGGTTTGTTATACAGGAACCAGATTTTATCAGTTTTTATAACTCTGCCTCAGAATCTCTGAGAAATAATATCCTGGTTTGTCATGGACAGAGAATCACCAGCCAGGAATGTATTTTCAAAATGCTAACTGGTAGCGACGGTTGCTGAGATACAACGAAATATCCGTAGAAATCATCCTTACGGTAAAAAAAATGTGGAAACCATGAGTAGAAGTTATAGGAATCTCAAAAGATACAATCTATACAATGTTCTATAAACATGTAAATTTCCACCTTCAAACTCAATTGCATTTTATCAAAAATACACATGCGGTGAAGTTCTATAAAACATGTATAACCCTACAAGTAAATAGCAATATCAATATAAAGTAATGTATCTTAGGAAAAGAGACGACAAAATTGCTTACTCTGCATGCACAGGAAATAATATATATGGCTTTTGAAATATATCTATGCCTTTCCACCATCTTCTCAGGTTTAAGAAGTAAGAAGGCTTGTCTGCCTTCACAATAAGAAAGCAAAATGAGTTGAAAATATAAGACATGACCACATGTTTATAGCTGAGATAAACATCAAATCTTCAATTTACTATGAAAAAGGTACTTACAAACGCACATCCTCAGTGTATTTACCCAACGGATAAAAGATTAATAGTAAAACCCAAATGCAAAAAAAAAAATTACCCTTTTTATATTTCATGTACCTTCCGCTGTGTAGGTACATGCCTTGTGAAAATTCATGTACCTTCCGCTGTGTGGATACATGCCTTGTAAATTTAAGCACCAACCAGGTCACACTAGTTTTCCTAAATCTACCAAGTTGCTACTCATGCTGATACGACATGCGGCTTATGGCCATATGCTACGCAAAGGCCTAAGCAACCATCCAGTCAGATAAAATGGCATTGTTAACTTTCAGCTTGCAGTTTACCAATTTAGATAATAAGACCAACTGGTTGTTTAATTAGATATGTTTCTTAGCACCACCAGTTCCTGTTTCCATCAGCCACTGCAAACAAGCCACGTCTCTGGTCGATGGTGTTCAGTCAGATAAAATGGCATTGTTAACTTTCAGCTTGCAGTTTATTGGTTTAGATAATAAGACCAATTGGCTGTTTAATTAGATATGCTTGTTGCTGCCGCCAGTTCCTTTTTTCATCAGCCCCTGCCAACGAGCCACATCTTTGGTCGATGCTGTCCGCATGCTGGTCTGGGCCACTTTCTGGATGCATTCCTGTTTCCTTGGGACTACGCATGATGTTGACTATTTGCATGTCGCTGGTTTGCTGTTTGGTTGAGAAGAGGATGCCCGAGATTGTTTCCTTGCTGCTCTGCCGTTAGGAGAAGCGAGATGTTCTGATTTGTGCTACTGCTGATGTGTGCACATGATAGCTGCTGCTGCTGCTGCTCCCCTCCCTCACTCTACAGAGTCTACACTTCTTGGGCTGAGGTTTATGTATGTGCTTTCATCCTTGTAAAGTTGTACTATATATTTGCACGGACAGTACAGTCCAAAAAGCTCTGTTCATGACATGCTGCACTCAGACAAGGGGCAACAAAGAACCTAATACTTAATAAGCCTTAAAATAAGACAAAGATTTTTCATATTCTTAGACATCACAGCCTTTCCTGTGCCTAAATGGGCAGTGAATAAGAATGAAAAAATTGGATCTTTTGTGTGGCACTGCACGGATGAGAAGCATTATTTCCTTGATCAAATGCACAGCAGTCTGCCATTTCCATAAGAAAATTATTTCTTATTCTACAACATATCACACTTGTCCAAGAGAAGCATCAAGCATATTCGTTGTTCTAGCCTTCTAGGTGCTCAGCTTGCAAACCCAGTATGGGTTATTGTCACGCCAGCCATGGCCTACCCCTTCGTAACCTAGGTCGTGACAGTTATGTACTAGAATAGAACATAGCAACTGTAGCAATCAAAGTATAGAATACTGAGCCAGTAAAGACAATCCAATTTAGAAATTACTGCAGAGTTACCTTTGATTTTAGGGCTTCAAGTTTCTTGAAGAAGTATGTATTGAAAATGTGATACTTGCCTCTTTGTGTACTAATCGACGACATTGGTCCTTGCAGGTACCTACAAGATGTATAGTTATGACTTCAACTGTTACGAGAAAGGAAATAAATGAGGAATCTAGAAACTAAAGAACGATACTTACATAATGTAGAAGTTCATTATAGTTGAGGAAAGTAACGATTCAGGCTCAAGGCATTTTATGTCATCATGAGAAAGCTCAATAGAATTTGAGTGTTCGCTGCCGGCAAGGCAAAAAGAAAATAATCATCAACTATGCACAAAAACATTAAGCTCGGTGGGTTTTAAAGAATTCAAATGCTAACCTTGAAGGATAATATATCTTCATTGCATCCCTAATGAAGTATCAGAATTGAGTTAATAATCTCAAAAACTTTAAATATACATAATATTATTATATTTCATATAGCAAGTCTCAGGTTGACCACACAAATTGCGCTGTCCCCAGGATCGGAGCACACATGGGAAATTGACAAATTATTACCGTTTAGTGGTTGGCTTCTCTGCAGATTCTGAATGGTGTGCATCTGCATCGAGTAGAACCACCTCTTGAGCCTGAACGGGTGCAAAAATCAGACCAAACTTGTCAGAAGAGTTACCTCGTCATAGTTGCAAGCAAATCATAACTTGCTTAGTTTACTCTTTGTAGAAGCTGACACGGACAGATATTTACTAATGGTTAGCTGGTTACAGTATGATTCACTAAGAAAATAATCAAGAATAACCCCAAAAAGAGAAGTAAAAGCACTTAAATTGTATTAGGTTGTTGTAATCACTACTGCCAAAAAGAAAGTTGTTGTAATTGCAGGATAGCAGACCTAACATCTAACTGAAGACCAATCCTAATCATTTGCTAGTACTGAAAACAGTCGCTCTTTCTTTCTTATTTTCTGGCACTCCCCCGAAAATCATGATCCTCTCATTAACAACTGCCACGCACATCATGGTTCAAAATTATGACTTCCTAGTTCCTCCTAGCTACTACGCATACCCAGATACTACCATCACTCCAGAAGGAAAGTATGTTTTTTATTAGGCATGGCCCTATGACACACAGCTTTCCCTGCGTCTTGTCAGCAATAGTAGGAGACAATAGCTCACATGCTGGGATTGATATCTAATTCATCTAGTTTCTTCTTGCAGCTCCCTTTTTACATTTTTCTTTCAGATGGCCGCAAGAAAGCTACCAGGTTAATTTTTAGAGATGATTTCTCTCCATATTTTTAAATTTTTTTCTTTGATAAAGGTGATCTGTGATTTGACTTTGCTTGTTCCTGTAGATCAGTATTTTTTTTATTTTCTACTGGCGGCATCAAATGGAGATGGCCACCGTCTGGTGACGGTTATCTTCATTTGATCCCCTCGCTTAATCGTGCCATGGTCCATGCCTGTTGCCCCAACATATACATGTAGACATTGCACACTACTGCCTCTAGAACCTTCAGAAAAATTCATGGATGTACCAGATGAGTGTAGTACACCATCCGCAAAAGTGCAACAAAATCCAGCTTACACTTAGAACTGCATACTGCAGCTGTCACACCAATTCGCTTTGTCCTTGGAAGATTGAACTTCTTTCGAAAAGATTATAGATGTAGTACAGTGCACCAAGTAATTACCTTATTTTAATCTTACAGGCACAACAACAACAACAACAACAAAGTCTTTAGTCCCAAACAAGTTGGGGTAGGCTAGAGGTGAAACCCATAAGATCTCGCGACCAACTCATGGCTCTGGCACATGGATAGCAAGCTTCCATGCACCCCTGTCCATAGCTAGTTCTTTGGTGATACTCCAATCCTTCAGGTCTCTCTTAACGTACTCCTCCCATGTCAAATTCGGTCCACCCCTCCCTCTCTTGACATTCTCCGCACGCTTTAGCCGTCCGCTATGCACTGGAGCTTCTAGAGGCCTGCGCTGAATATGCCCAAACCATCTCAGATGATGTTGGACAAGCTTCTCTTCAATTGGTGCTACCCCAACTCTATCTCGTATATCATCATTCCGGACTCGATCCTTCCACGTGTGGCCACACATCCATCTCAACATACGCATCTCCGCCGCACCTAACTGTTGAACATGTCGCCTTTTAGTCAGCCAAAACTCAGCGCCATACAACATTGCGGGTCGAACCGCCGTCCTGTAGAACTTGCCTTTTAGCTTTTGTGGCACTCTCTTGTCACAGAGAATGCCAGAAGCTTGGCGCCACTTCATCCATCAGGCTTTGATTCGATGGTTCACATCTTCATCAATACCCCCATCCTCCTGCAGCATTGACCCCAAATATCGAAAGGTGTCCTTCTGAGGTACCACCTGCCCATCAAGGCTAACCTCCTCCTCACACCTAGTAGTACTGAAACCGCACATCATGTACTCAGTTTTAGTTCTACTAAGCCTAAACCCTTTCGATTCCAGGGTTTGTCTCCATAACTCTAACTTCCTATTTACCCCGTCCGACTATCATCAACTAGCACCACATCATCCGCAAAGAGCATACACCATGGGATATCTCCTTGTATATCCCTTGTGACCTCATTCATCACCAAGGCAAAAAGATAAGGGCTCAAAGCTGACCCCTGATGCAGTCCTATCTTAATCCGGAAGTCATCAATGTCGACATCACTTGTTCGAACACTTGTCACAACATTATCGTACATGTCCTTGATGAGGCTAATGTACTTTGCTAGGACTTTGTGTTTCTCCAAGGCCCACCACATGACATTCCACGGTATCTTATCATAGGCCTTCTCCAAGTCAATGAACACCATATGCAAGTCCTTCTTTTGCTCCCTGTATCTCTCCATAAGTTGTCGTGCCAAGAAAATGGCTTCCATGGTCGACCTCCCAGGCATGAAACCAAACTGATTTTTGATCACGCTTGTCATTCTTCTTAAGCGGTGCTCAATGACTCTCTCCCATAGCTTCATTGTATGGCTCATCAGCTTAATTCCACGGTAATTAGTACAACTCTGAACATCCCCCTTGTTCTTGAAGATTGGTACTAATATACTCCGTCTCCATTCTTCTGGCATCTCGTTTGCCCCAAAAATGAGGTTGAAAAGCTTGGTTAGCCATACTATCGCTATGTCCCCGAGGCCTTTCCACACCTCAATGGGGATACAATCAGGGCCCATCGCCTTAACTATGTACAGGCGCAATCTGGTAAAATACATTCAGATGTCGGGTTTTCCCACTCCTATCCTATATCTGCTCCCGAATTAAATGTCACAAAGTGGCCATGGACATCTTCTCTTTTTTTGTCTTCCATACTTCTTTTTCATCTTAAGAATTAAGATCCTGAATGGCTACTTGAGCATGTGTTTGCATTATCGTGCATTACACTGTATTGTGTCTGTCCTTTCCACTCATATGATCTGTAGAAAATCAGAATTAATAATTTCGCAAACCCAATTACGGTTTCAGTAACTGAAGATGTATAGCCCCAAACAAATTTTATTTTTAGGAAGTGGTGCATCACGACCAGAGAAACTGCAGCCCAGATCCAGACAAACCACAAAGCTAGTAATTATGACCCGATACATTTGCCACCCTACAACTACAGGTGAATTCTCTACCAAAAATCTGTAAGTGTGCACCGCGTTAATGGAGGTGTCACTCATTTGGATTAAGTAGCATAAACTTTGAAAAAAAAATCTCCATCGGCACTTACGCGCCTGAACGCCACCCAGGAACAGAGACTAAGCAAGTGGCAAAGAAAAACTGGATAATATGACAACACAATGCCTATACTGAGCCATATGGTACAGAGGAAAAATGTAGCAGAACTGATGAAGGCAGCCATTGTGTTTACATAGGTAGCACACAGCAGTCAATTTTGTCTTACGTTTACGTAATTTTGTGCACAAGTATGACTACGTAATTTTTTTCTGATCAAACTAAATTAGCTACTACCTCCATTCACAAATAAATATTGCTTTAGAAACCATTGCCAAAAGTAGATACATTGACCAGAAATAGTATAGAATCGTCACAGAAAGATACTTCCATACACTTGAGTATTATGATTGGACAGCCAAAGCTGTATCGCGAAGACCATGACAATGTATTTGGGAATGGGGGAAGTATATAAACTAATGGTCATGCCGACAGTTTGACCAGCGTGCTCTTAGAAACGACATTGGGTATTTGCATTGGACCAGAGGATAATATGCAGCTGAACCTCAACAACATGGTTGTCGGTCTAAAGTGCTTGATACAACGAGACTCAACCCCATCAGAAAGGTCACATGTTGATGTTATGATACTTATAAATATCTGTAGAGGGCCACAGGTTGAAGGTCCAATATTGGCCCATGAGAAAAAAGGTGACGCTAGCATTACACTCAATGATTTTCCTCAGAATATTAAGTTCTAGTAATATTTCCGTATTATTAACCAGTATGAGAGTCATTTTAAAACAAAACCCCTTTTCTAGTATCTACTGCCAAAATCATGAGCAGCTGGGGCTCTGTCAATCCTAATACTTCAATAATAATCATCATAAAAAGAGCACACTGACGGTCATGATGGTAAAATTCATAGAAACTAAAAAGTATTTACAAACCTTTCTTGGTCTCAATCGCATTGAGAAGTTAACTGAGTCATCTCCTTTCCTGGCACAGGTAGGTTGCATGATTCAGTACAATGATGAAAAGTTCACATAATAGATAATAAAAATTAGCACAGCCATGCATGCATGAGATGTGGTCATATATACAGCGGTCTACCAATTGATCAGCAAAATACAATTGAACAAGGACAGCGGTATAATCACAGTCGGATATGTTACACAACAGATGAAGTAACTGGGGAATGCATAGGGACATGACTGATGAATACTGGAAATATCCTTGCAGAAGTTAAATCAGAGTATTTGAAGAATCGCATGTTCTCTTGTTAATTTGCTGTGTATCCCTTTTCATTCCATGTCAGTTTGCCCTTGTACTTTTGAGTAATATGTATTGTATTTGAATTTGACAATGATGGACAAAACAACATTCAAACAATGAATTGATTGATCAGAAAATAATAACAAAGCTGAGAACAAGAGAGCAATAATCTGCCTTCCTTGAACCAATAGCATGCATTGACCACTCAAGCACACTGCCTAGCTTTCCTTGGGCAGATGTTATGTAAACATTAAACAAGTTTGACTCCTCTGTACTCCTAAAAACTACACCGAGAGCCCTTGTAGTTCAAATCATAAATTTTGTATTTCCTGGTAGTAGTATCTTCAAGTCGGTGTGTTTGGTATTCACTAAAAGTAGTAAGTTATCTAACAGAACCTTTTACATCTACCATGGAAGCTATCACTATCCCATATGAAGAATAAGAATTTTGATAGGTTTATGCACCATGTGCAGCAAGCCATGACTATTTAAAGTTAGTTAACAACACATCATTACCAATTAAAACAAATGGACGTGCAGGTTAACACAGTGAAACAGAAGAGCATGTACATACTAACCTTTTCCGAGAAGGTGTGGAAGCATTTTCACGTATCCTAATATCGTCGTTATCCTTGAAGTCATCGTCAGAAGACATATTTTCCACGTCGATTGAGTTGTCGATACATAATACTTTGGGAGGCATTGGTTGTGCATTGGTTTTGCAAGATTCACTCACTTCATACGACTTCCCTTTATTTTCTACTGGCGTTTTAGTCTTGCCAGGGCATATACTTGTTATCTCCACATCGATGCCTGCCTAACGTACAGAAAATTCAACACTTGCACAAAATACACAGATTTAAGTACCATAGGACACAGGCCCAGTGCTAGAAGCTCCCACACCAGGTGGAGTCTGGGGAAGGATTATACGAGGCAAGCCTAACCCACGGAACTCATTAATTACCATGCAACACATTAATTACCTCATCATCCACCTCAAATGCGGAAAGGAAATCAGATTTGGTTACTCCATGATTTTCATTGCATTTACTAGACAAACCTACAAGTCGTAAAGAAAATTAAAATTTTGAACAGCAAATTAATTAATAACGAGTATAACAGAAATTCATGTTGGAAAAATGGTCAACATGTTATGAGTTTATTAGGAAATGTGATATGACGACTAGTCAGACCTTCTAGTGTTCAATCTTTTAATCAAGTCGGACAGTAGCTTACCTAATTATACATAGTGAAACCAATATAAAGTCTGAGTAAATTCAAAACGCATTCATTTCGGTTTTTGATATAGCTGTGGGCACAACACATTTTGACAATAGTAGCTCCAGCTTTGGGCACATTTTCTTTACCTAGAGTATTTATTGATTTCATCAATTTCAATAGCAAAATACAAAAATTGCATGGCACTGAGGTGACTAACTTAGATCATTATTCATGTGCATTTGATCAATATGGCACATGGTTTAGGTTGTACTAGATGGCTTATTAAGTACAGCACGTAACTTGCAATTTTCTTAAGAGGACAAACGAAAAAGACCCAAAAGAAGTTATACCAACATGGTAAAATAACATTGTAGCACTGCAGTAAGCAATAATATTAGATGGAGCATTTAAAAAATATAAGCAGGCAGGGATTTTAGGTCCACGATATCTATTTAGAATTATTACCCAACTACAAAAATTGATGTAATGAAAACAAGTATTCCAAAAATGGATTTTCCATGAGATGGTAGTGTGCAGAAAGTTTCAAATGTGATACATTGTCAAAACAGTAAATCAATCACATACCAGACGGTTCTGCACAACTTGACTGGATCATCCGTTCACCTCTATTGCCATCCTGCGAGGGAGCATTCCATGATTAGGCTTAGAGTGCTATACAGCTCAGAACGCTTACTGTGCATATTCACAACCATAGCAAGGTGGCGACGGCCGATCGACACGCAAAGGCCCATCCAACGACACCAGTGGTCACTGGCGAACCAGCAACCACCATAGCCGAAGAAGAATATCACTTCTATACTTGTGGAAATTTTATTCAGTTGGCATATCACAAAAACCAACTTTCAAATGCATTAAAATTTAAAAAAATGGATTAAAAATAAAAGAACACAAATATACCCCTCTATGGTTAGCCCGCTTTACATATCACATGAGGCAATTCTTGTTAAATTTTTACAGATTCTCCTTAATCAGAGACAGGCCATGATTCGCTGATTGACTCTAGGGAAAGTTTAAACATATGGAAAGAAAGACGGAAAGCTGCTGCTATTTTGTCACCAAAGTAACAGATTAAAAGATTAACGCTGTCTGTGGTAAAAAGAAAGAGAAAACGGATGGTAGGAGAGGTTTTAATTTCAATTTCAGGTAGAAAATACAGGAACTATCATTGTCCACAGAAATGAAATAAAAACTTGCTGTTTTCAATAACTACCGCCATACACAAGCAAGATGATAACATGGAATTCTACCACTGGTGAACACAGAAGCATACCACCGCTTCAGCACGCGGAGCAGGTGCATAAATTCGTGTATCACTAATCTTTTCCATGTCGTTGCCCGCTCCGTTTTCCCACGCAAAATCACTTGGAGGTGGACGGCTGATGAGATTTACTCCTCTCGCTCAGCATATAGGGTGAAGTTCAAAGGGTCCTTCAACTCCCATCAACCAGGATGCGGTTTGGAGGGCTGACGGAAAAGTCGAAACATAAGTGCATCATACTTGAGGCTCTTGTTGATCAAGATGCCTACGCCATTTCTGTTTGCAGCCGTCCCCGTGTACCACAGCTTGAAGCCGGTATCCTCCACCTCCTTCGCCTTCTGTCCCCTCCATTTGGTTTCTTGGACACAAGGGATATCAACACCTCTCCTCACCGCTGCATCAACTAGCTCCCGAAGCTCAAGGGGGAGGTAGCTCAGGCGTTAAAGGAGAGGGTCATTAAGGAGGGCCCTTGGGAGGAAGGAGGGGATGTGGACAATGTGTGGATGAAGATGGCGACTTGCATTCGTAAGGTGGCCTCGGAGGAGTTTGGAGTGTCCAGGGGAAGGAGAAGCGAAGATAAGGATACCTGGTGGTGGAATGATGATGTCCAGAAGGCGATTAAAGAGAAGAAAGATTGCTTCAGACGCCTATACCTGGATAGGAGTGCAGACAACATAGAGAAGTACAAGATGGCGAAGAAGGCCGCAAAGCAAGCTGTCAGTGAAGCAAGGGGTCGGGCATATGAGGACCTCTACCAACGGTTAGGCACGAAGGAAGGCGAAAGGGACATCTATAAGATGGCCAAGATCCGAGAGAGGAAGACGAGGGACATTGGCCAAGTCAAATGCATCAAGGACGGAGCAGGCCAACTCTTGGTGAAGGATGAGGAGATTAAGCATAGATGGCGGGAGTACTTCGACAAGCTGTTCAATGGGGAGAATGAGAGTTCTACCATTGAACTGGACGACTCCTTTGATGAGACCAGCATGCGTTTTTGTGCAGCGAATCCAGGAGTCTGAGGTCAAGGAGGCTTTAAAAAGGATGAAAGGAGGCAAGGCAATGGGCCCTGATTGTATCCCCATTGAGGTGTGGAAAGGCCTCGGGGACACAGCGATAGTATGGCTAACCAAGCTTTTCAACCTCATTTTTCAGGCAAACAAGATGCCAGAAGAATGGAGTATATTAGTACCAATCTTCAAGAACAAGGGGGATGTTCAAAGTTGTACTAATTATCGTGGAATTAAGCTGATGAGCCATACAATGAAGCTATGGGAGAGTCATTGAGCACCGCTTAAGAAGAATGACAAGCGTGACCTAAAATCAGTTTGGTTTCATGCCTGGGAGGTCGACCATGGAAGCCATTTTCTTGGTATGACAACTTATGGAGAGATACATCATTGACTTGGAGAAGGCCTATGATAAGATACCATGGAATGTCATGTGGTGGGCCTTGGAGAAACACAAAGTCCCAACAAAGTACATTACCCTCATCAAGGACATGTACGATAATGTTGTGACAAGTGTTCGAACAAGTGAGTGTTCGAACAAGTGATGGCGACACTGATGACTTCCCGATTAAGATAGGACTACATCATGGGTCAACTTTGAGCCTTTATCTTTTTGCCTTGGTGATGGATGAGGTCACAAGGGATATACAAGATATCCCATGGTGCATGCTCTTTGCGGCGGATGATGTGGTGCTAGTTGACGATAATCGGACGGGGGTAAATAGGAAGTTAGAGTTATGGAGACAAACCTTGGAATCGAAAGGGTTTAGGCTTAGTAGAACTAAAACCGAGTACATGATGTGCGGTTTCGGTACTACTAGGTGTGAGGAGGAGGAGGTTAGCCTTGATGGGCAGGTGGTACCTCACAAGGACACCTTTCGATATTTGGGGTCAATGCTGCAGGAGGATGGGGGTATTGATGAAGATGTGAACCATCGAATCAAAGTCGGATGGATGAAGTGGCGCCAAGCTTCTGGCATTCTCTGTGACAAGAGAGTGCCACAAAAGCTAAAAGGCAAGTTCTACAGGATGGCGGTGCGACCCGCAATGTTGTATGACGCTGAGCGCTGGCCGACTAAAAGGCGACATGTTCAACAGTTAGGTGTGGCAGAGATGCGCATGTGAGATGGATGTGTGGCCACATGAGGAAGGATCGAGTCCGGAATGATGATATCGAGATAGAGTTGGGGTAGCACCAATTGAAGAGAAGCTTGTCCAACATCGTCTGGGATGGTTTGGGCATATTCAGCGCAGGCCTCCAGAAGCTCCAGTGCATAGCGGACGGCTAAAGCATGCAGAGAATGTCAAGAGAGGGCGGGGTAGACCGAATTTGACATGGGAGGAGTTCGTTAAGAGAGACCTGAAGGATTGGAGTATCACCAAAGAACTAGCTATGGACAGGGGTGCGTGGAAGCTTGCTATCCATGTGCCAGAGCCATGAGTTAGTCGCAAGATCTTATGGGTTTCACCTCTAGCCTACCCCAACTTGTTTGGGACTAAAGGCTTTGTTGCTGTTGTATAAGTGCAGATTTATCACTTGGCTGCCCTTCCAGAAGCAAATCTTCACCTCTGATCAGCTGTTTGCTCAAGGTTGGTCACCTTATGCGGCTCTCATGGAGTCATGGTAATATGCTTCGGCCATTAGGTGCCCTCTCTATTGGACTTTCCGCTAAAAATCAGACTTCGCTCGTGCCACAGCCGCGGAACCACCGCATTCAGGATTGGTGGGACAAGGCCCATGCATATGTTACTGAGAAGGAGCGAATAGCTTTAGATGAAATCAAACTTTCACCCTTTGGAACATTTGGAAGGAAAGGAATGCTCAAAGTTTTTAACTCTGCTTATGCCTCGATACAAGTTGTTTCCTATGCCAAGTAGGAAGATACTACGACCTGGTGCTTTGATATGGCAAGGGTGGCCCTTTGGTGACCATGGCTAGTAGGTTTTGGCTGTGCCTTTTCTCCTGCTTATAGAATTTGGCAGTGCCCCTACCGTTCCTTAGAAAAAAGCACAAATGCCTATGGCTTGCAGGCATTTTATGGAACGGGAGTTTGAGAACCCTAAAGCTTTACCCCACCTCTCCAATCTACCCCAAGGCAGACCCATCCCAAATCCCAAATTCGGAGGAACCAAGGCAAAGATCAAAATATTAATCCACGCGGCCGCGCACCAAGAGAATAAATACAGAACTGGAAAATAGTTTTACCGGCTCGCCTAGGCGGCCTTGCGGACGCGGTGGCCGCGGCCGTGGCCGGAGAGAGGCCGAGTCCGAGGCCAAGCGAGTGCGGCGGTCGAGCTCGCCGCGGACGGCGCGGAGCGAGCGGCGGTACTTCTTCCCACCGTCCGGGAGGACGCCGGGGAATTTGTTGAGCCCGTCCTGTAGGCGTTTGAACCTCTCCTTCAGCGCCTGGTCCGACATGCCGCGAAGGTCGTCATCGATCCTCGCCCCCGCATCCTCGTCCCCCTCCTCGCCGCTGGGGAGCGGCTCCGACGAAGCCGTGGCCATCGCATTCACCGCGGCGCGGCGCGGCTCGCCGAGGGGGCGGGGTCGAGGGGAAGTTGGGGTTGGGGAAGAGAAAGAGGAGGCGGCGGAGAAGTCGACGGGGCTGGCAGCCGGGGCCTCTGGCATATTGGAGGAGGGCCTTCTCGCAAAAAGAAACGGAGGACGGCCTCGGAGCATGTAGCATATATCCCAGTAATGGCCTTTTGATGCGCTGGATTGTAAAAACGCAGAATAGGAACATTAGAAGGTGTTTTGAATATTTTAGTGAGTGTACAAATAAGATAAAATGTGTCTCTACAAAAGTGTACAGACTCAAATAAGTGTATAAATACACTAAATGTGTCTGCATACATCTCATTTAGAAGAAAAGTTAAAACATCTTTAATAGTGAACGGAGAGAGTAGAATTTTGAAAACTCATGCTTACCTCAATCTACTTGTTTGTTTGATCGCATTATAGTAAAACCAAAGGATTTTTTTATAGAATGTAGTACAAGTGAATCCTTAGTACAAGTTTCTATAGGATCAATTCTATGAATCAAACAACCAACAAGCAACATAGGAAATATCCCTAAGGATTGTAATCCTACAAAATTCCTATGAAACCAATTTGATTCAAAGGAGCCCAATATTGTCTCTATAACGTTTTTTATATTATTAGGCTGCTTCTATAACACTTTTTGGATTACTGATGAGATATTTTTAGCAAATCCCAAATATTGTCTTTATTCTTATATGTTGGACACGATTGGTTTTTAGGTCCTCGACGTGATTAGCGTAACAAACATCAAATAAAGTTCTTAAGCATATATATTTTAGCATATTATACATGTTAGACCTAGAAATTTGTGATCAGACTCATAAGCCCGGATGGAGGGAGTAATACAATCCTCATTATATACCTAACATGCGGGGCCAACATATCGGCAGGCTAATTATTTTTATTTCATTACATCCATTTTTTATTTATTTTTCCCATCTATCTTCTTTCTAATCTTTCTCTGTCTTGTGTAGCTTTGCGAAGCTCAGAGACGGGGAGGCGGAATTTGGGGCCCGAGGTCGGTACTTGAGAAAGGAGGTAGTGCCTGATGCTTGGGACATATTGGGCTGCGTGCTTGGTGCAAGGTGGACCACGCGGAGCGTGAGCGGGCGTGGACCACGTCGTCGTGTGGAGTTGTGCGGAATGGTGAGGTTAGGGCCAAGCCGCGAGGCCCACGCGGTGGTGCAGACGACATAGGCGGGTGTGAAAAGGCATGGTAAGTGGGGGTCCCTACGATGGTCATCGGAGCGCTTCAGTGGTCCAGTGGCGCAAGGCGGTGGTGGTCGGGGCAAGCTAGCGACGACGAGTACTTGGTTGTGGTTAAAAAATCAAGTGGTTCATGTGTGCCACAAATATTGGACAGGTTACAACTCCCCTTCTGTGTGGGAGTTAGGATGCTTTTAAGAGGGGATTAAAAAAGGGATATATTGCATGTTTTTTGCTTAACTTCCTTAACAGTGACAGCTTATGAGGGGAAGAATGTCTATTGGAGTTGCTCTCATAGACTAAACTAATGGCATGTGGGACTATGTTTTAGCTGGCGATAAGACAGTCTTTTGGCTTTGGAAAGTATTTGCTATAAAAATTGTTAAGAAACATAGTTGCAAGCATGACAAGGAATGAATCACTTTAAATATAGACGTTAAAGACTCAATTACAATTTACAGTCGTCACATTTATAATGTTTTAAGAGGTGGTATCACATCCAACTATCAAATGCACAAACATAGACTTTTTCACGGTGGGTAATAGCTTAGAGTAACTCTAGCAGAGTAATCATATTGGTCTGATCGCCATAATGGTTGTCATTATGGTGATTTTGGCCCAAAAACGCACTCTAGCAGAGTTGTCGTCCGGCCCTTGAGCGCCATATTTTTTTTGGAGTGCGCTCCAAATCCAACCAGTGGGCCTCCATATTTGCCATGTGTGGGGGTGGAGTATGTAGAGCGCGCTCCATTCGAAAAACGACTTGGCGCAAATGGCATTTTCCCCTTCCACTACTCTCCCTTCCGCACCGTTGCCTCCCCTCCCTTGGTGTAGCAGTGTCTTTCATCGCTTTCGGCAATCCACTGTCCCTCTAATTGCATGGACTGCCCGCGTCGTATTCCATCGTTTTGGGGCGTGTCTCATGCCTCTGAGACTCCCGCGCCATCTGCGACCCCTGTGGATGACACTTCTCATGTGCCTCAGATGGACGGTTGCCACTACTGCTACTTGTGAACTGTGCTAGGATTTTTTCCGAAGAGGAGGAGAGATGCAGTATAGTAGAGATAAGTATTTCCCTCAGTGAGAACCATGGTTTATCGAACCAACAGGAGAATCACGCAAAGTCTCGTGACACAGCACCTGCGCACACAAAAGCAAATACTTGCACCCAATGCGGGCAAGAGGGTTGTCAATCCCCTTGAACTCGTTACTTGCAAGGATCAAATCTTGTATAGGTAGATAGATAAATTGCAAAACAAAATAAAAGTAAATAAATTGTAGCAAGGTATTTTTTTAATTTTATAATATGACATAAATAGACCTGGGGCCATAGTTTTCACTAGGGCTTCTCTCTTGAACACATAGCATACAGTGGGTGAACAAACTACTATCGGGCAATTGATAAAAAACTGATAGTTATGACATATTCATGGCAATGAACATGTATATAGGCATCACGTCCGAGACAAGTAGACTGACTCATGTCTTCATCTACTACTATTAATACACCAATCAACCGCTATCCAGTATGCATCCATGATATTAAGTTCATGAAAAATGGAGTAACGCCTTAAGCAAGATGACATGATGTAGACAAAGTAAATTCAACCAATATGAATAAACCCCGTCGTTTTACCCTTAATGGCAACAATACAAATACGTGTCTTGTCCCCTTCTGTCACTGGGATATAGAGCACCGCAAGATTGAATCCATTACAAAGCACCTCTCACACTGAAGATAAATCAATCTAGGTGTTCAACCAAATGGATACATCAGAGAGAAATACAAAGCTATATCAATCATGCATAATAAAGTTTAGAAAAAACCTAATTACTTTAAATGAATAATCTGATCATAAACTCACGATTCATCAGATCTCAACAAGCAGACCACAAAATAAGATTACATCAGATAGAACTCCAAGGAGATCGAGGAGAACATTGTATTGAAGATCAACAGGAGAGAAGAAACCATCTAGCTACTAGCTATGGACCCGTAGGTATGTGGTAAACTACTCACACATCATCGGAAGGCAACAAGGATGATGTAGAAGCCCTCCATGGTCGACCTTCCCCCCTCGGCAGAGTAACGGAAAAGGCCTCCAGATGGGATCGCGGAAGAACAGAAGCTTGTGGCGGCGAAAAAAGTGTTTCGGGTGGCTCTCAGTTGGTTTGGGAATTTATAGAGGTGGAATTAGGTCAAACAAAGTTGCATGGGGGTCACGGGTCACGCCCTACCCCCCCCAGGGCACGCCTGGTAAGCTCGTGGCTCTCCCATAAGGCTTCTGGCCTCCTCCTGAACCTTCTAGGGTCCCTTCTGGTCTAGAAAAAAAACACTGTGAAGTTTCATCGTGTTTGGACTTTGTTTGGTACTGTTTTTCTGAAAAGTAAAAAAACAAGCAAAAAACATGAACTAACACTGGGAACTGAGTTAATAGGTTAGTCCCCAAAAATGATATAAAATAGCATATAAATGTGTATAAAGCATCCAAGATTGATGATATAATAGCATGAAACAATAAAAAATCATAGATATGTTGGAGACATATCAACTTCCTAGGCTAACACCTCGTTCATGCTGCCACCTAGCCCGACACAGAGATGGCAAAGCAGATGACATCACGTGAAGGTGGCGACCTTCCCCCATCGGTGCTGACGGGATATAAGAAGACGGGAAACTAGGTGCCCGCGCCCCTCCCCCACCTTGCTTTGCCTCGACGGTGGGGCGAATATGGGGTGGCTTCCCAGTCATACGCTAGATCTGCAACAACAATGAGGCAAAAAGGCCATCATATACCTTGTATACGTTTTTTGTTCAATTGAATGTGTGATGATCAATGTGTTTTGATTTAGTGATGGTGATTTTTTTCTAATTTTTGGGGGGATGGAGCCTCAATGATGAAACATTTCTCAATACTGTGGTGGTAATTCTGAGACAAATGATGCTGATCTCAAGGGTGCATCATTGTCGCTTTTTAAACATGACTCCATCCAAGATATAAAATTGAAGGAAATATGCCCTAGAGGCAATAATAAAGTTGTTATTTATAGTTCTTTATATCATGATAAATTTTTATTATTCATGCTAGAATTGTATTAACCGGAAACTTAGTACATGTGTGAATACATAGACAAACAGAGTGTCCCTAGTGTGCCTCTACTTGACTAGCTCGTTAATCAAAGATGGTTAAGTTTCCTGACCATAGACATGTGTTGTCATTTGATGAACGGGATCACATCATTAGAGAATGATGTGATGGAAAAGACCCATCTGTTAGCTTAGCATAATGATCGTTTAGTTTTATTGCTATTGCTTTCTTCATGACTTATACATGTTCCTCAGACTATGAGATTATGCAACTCCCGAATACCGGAGGAACACCTTATGTGCTATCAAACATCACAACGTAACTGGGTGATTATAAAGATGCTCTACAGGTGTCTCCGATGGTGTTTGTTGAGTTGTCATGGATCAAGATTAGGATTTGTCACTCCGTGTATCACAGAGGTATCTCTGGGCCCTCTCGGTAATGCTCATCACTATAAGCCTTGCAAGCAATGTGACTAATGAGTTAGTTGCGGGGTGAAGTATTACGGGACGAGTAAAGAGACTTGCCGGTAATGAGATTGAACTAGGTATGATGATACCGACGATCGAATCTCGAGCAAGTAACATACCGATGACAAAGGGAATAACGTATGTTGTTATGCGGTTTGACCGATAAAGATCTTCGTAGAATATGTAGGAGCCAATATGA